AATGAGAGTTCCAGGCAAGATCTATGGTCATCCTTTAATGGTGTTGTTGGACACAGGGAGCACCCACAATTTCCTTAATCATGCATGGGCATCCCGATTTGGATTGAAGACTAAGGAAAGAGAGAAGATGAATGTTATGGTGGCTAATGGAGAAAAGTTACAGTGCATGGGGGGCTGCCCGAAACAACAACTACCATCCAAGGAAGCCTATTTCGGGTGGATTTTTTTGTCATTGAGTTGGGAGGCTACGATGCTGTCCTTGGCGCACAATGGCTGGAAACATTCGGGCAAATTATGTGGGATTTTTCCCAGCTCAAAATGGCATTCCAATGGCAAGGAAAAACCATGACTCTCACTGGCGCTCAATCCCCACACAATCAGATAGTCAATAGGCAAAGAATGGAGAAGGAACTTCGAGCAAATAGAGGACAAGGAATGCTGATGCCCATAATAACTCTTAATGCCCTTGACCAAACAAAAAAGGCCAGACCAAAACCTTGCAGTGGGACGCAACAGTAGCAAGTGGACAATTTAATTGAAAAATAAAAGGGCTTGTTTCAAAAACCCAAAGGGCTTCCATCAGACCAAACCCGTAACCATAAGGGGGCGCTTGGTTCGGGTGTATCTGTCATTACTGAGGTAAGTAATCTTATATTACTTAATTCCTATATTTAGTTATCAAATAATATAAAATATCGATAATTTTTAAATATCAATAGTGATTATTATTGGTAATATTGGAGGTAATCTGATCACTTTAATTTTTTTAAGTTTTCTAAGATTATCAAAGTTATTTTTTTTATTATAATTTTATCCCTTATTAATAAAAATTTTAGACAATAATACCCGTATTTTAAAAGAAATTTACAACAATATTTTATTTCAATTTTACCCTTGTTTAATTAAAATTTTAGACAATAATACCCTTATGTTTAAAACAATTTCCAGACCACCACTGTCATCCAGCCACCACCGCCTACAGTGGGCCAACCATCATGGGCCGTCGCTGAAAACTCGTCGGAATCCCTAAAAAGAACCAGATTCGGTGGGAGGCTCCAAGAGGCTTCAGTGTGGCCGTTTCCGGCCATATTGTGGCCAAAAACGGCCATATCCGGTCAGATCGTTGGAACTGGCCGTTAACGGTCAGATCTAGCATGATATGGCTGTTTTCGGCCATCATTATGGCCAGAAACGGCCATATCGAAGCCTCTTAGTCACTGTGAGCTACTCACTGAGACTTTCGGAGACTTCCAACAGTGGTTTGTGGTCGCAGCAGGCGGCAGCAGGAGATAGAAGTGATTTCGTCATAAATTAAAGTTTAATATAAACGGGGTGTTTTAGCTAAATCTGAAATATTGGGAGTTAAAAAAATTATTCAAAAATTAATAATAAAAATAATATTATATTAATATTTTTAAAAGAGATAATTTAATAATTTAAATAACATACCTACTAATTTATTCCTCATAACCAAACATATTAATATAACATACCCATCAACTAATCAAATATATTTTTCTAAAAATTTTTAATAATCTTTTAAGATAATTTATCTTTTTAATAATTTAATATTCCTAATAATCTAATATTCTTAAACAACACGCCGACCCAATTTTTGTCAGACCTTTTCGCTACCCATATTACCAGAAGCGAGAAATAGAGAAATTGGTGGAGGAAATGACGATGGTTGGAATAATTAGGCCTAGCACGAGCCCGTACTCTTCACCAGTGCTATTAGTTAAGAAAAAAGACGGCTCTGGGAGATTTTGCGTGGCTACCAGGCTTCAAATTTAGTCACCATCAAGGATAAATTTCCAATACCCGTGGTGGATGAATTGTTAGACGAATTACATGGCGCAAAATTTTTCTCAAAATTAGACTTGTAAGCAGGATACCACCAAATACCTATGCATCCTAAAGATATTGAGAAGACCGCATTTCACCTCCACGACGAACATTACGAATTTCTAGTAATGCTTTTCGGTCTCTCCAATGCTCAATCTACATTTCAAGCATTAATGAATGATATTTTTTGTCTATTTCTGCACAAATTTAGTATAGTTGTTTTTTATGACATTCTTATCTATAGTTGAATTTGGGAATCACATTTAAAGCATTTGGAAATTGTATTTTCCATTCTAGCCACTCACCAGCTTTATGTAAAAAAATAAAAGTGTTGCTTTGCCTTTGGGGATACAAAAATTCATTACTTGGGACACATCATTCATGAAGGAGAAGTAGAGATGGATCCCGTCAAAATTGCGGCAATAAAAGAATAGCACAAGCCAACCACAGTGACACGCATACGTGGGTTCTTAGGAATCTGGGGCTACTATTGAAAATTCATAAAGGATTATGAAAAAATTGCAGCACCATTGACTAATATGCTTAAAAAGAATAACTTTGCCTGGACCCAAGAAGCTGATCATGCATTCGAGGAGTTGAAACAGAAGATTATTAAAGGGCCTGTACTGACCTTACTAGACTTTGCAAAACAATTTATTTTCGAATGTGATGCGTCCAACTCTGGAGTCAGTATAGTCCTCATGCAAGAGAAAAAGCCAATAGCCTTCTTTAGCCAAGCTATTAAAGGAAAATCGGTATCCTTGTCCACATATGATAAGGAGATACTGGCATTTGGTCTTAACAATACAGAAATGGCGACCCTACCTCCTTGGCAAGACATTTGTGGTACAACTGATCATAAAAGTCTCAAGTATTTATGAAATCAATGCATCATCAGCATAGCACAACAATGGTGGCTCGGTAAGTTGATGGGATATGACTTCATCATCGAGTACAAACAGGGTAAAGATAATTCAGTAGCAGATGCACTTTCTAGGAAGATGGAAACCATGCACGTAATGGCAATATTAGCATTAAAACCAGGCTGGATCGAGACCATTCGGGAAAAAAATGGAGCCCATGTAGATATGCAAAAACTACATAAGTTGTTTCGAGAAGGGGAAATATTAAGTCCTTGGACTTGCAAGGACAGGGTACTTTTCTTCAAAGACCACATTTATTTACTCTCATTTTCCCCATTGACGACTGAAATTATACAAGGATTCCATTCTGCCACTCATGAAGGGTTACATAAAACCCTTCAACGCATTCGATCACAACTTTACTGGCAAGGAATGAAGAAGCAAGTACTGCATGCCATCAAAGCTTGTGATATCTGCAAAGAAATAAATAGGAACAAGAAGCACCACCTGGACTTCTTCAACTGCTACCCATTCCCAAGATCATATGGACTGAGGTATCAATGGATTTCATTATTAGACTTCCGCCCTCAAAAGAAAAGACTACTATTATGGTGCTAATGGACGGCCTATCCAAAATAGCGCACTTCGTTGCAATGTCACAACCCATTACTGCCAATAGTGCCACTCAAGCTTATTATGAGAATGTTCTCAAGTTGTATGGAGTACCAAAGTCAATCGTAAGCGATCGCGATCCCCCGTTCACAAGCGCATTTTGGAAAGAGTTATTTCGGCTGCAAGGCACTGAGTTCCGCTTTTCTTTCTCTTACCATCCACAGACAAACGTATAAACTGAGGTAACTAATCGTACTCTTGAAATGTATTCACAATATTTTACCGGGGATAACCCAAAACAATGGACGCGATGGTTACCATGGGCGGAGTTTTGTTATAACACTAGTTGGCATTCTTCCTCAAAATCCACTATTTTTGAAGCAGTTTATGGATCACCACTGCCAGTCTTAACGTTCTATGAGTTTGGGACAATAAAACATGCAAACATGGGCAAGGAATTACGGCAGAGGGATCAGATCATTATCCAACTTCGGCAACATATTTCCAAGACTCAAGAAAAGATGAAGGTTACCTATGACAAGGGTAGAAAAGATCGTAAGTTTGAGGTTGGCGACTGGGTTTTTCTCAAGTTGCAATCATACAGGTAGATTTCTTTAACGGGAGAATGGCGGCACAAACTTTCTGCCAAATATTATGGGCCATATTAGATTACTGAACGCATATGTCCGGTGGCTTACAAGTTACTCTTACCTGAAGGAAGTAAGATCCACCTCGTCATAAATGTTTCGTTGCTTAAGAAGCAGCTCAAAAACAATTCTGTAGTCGTAAATGAGTAGCCGAAATTAAACAGTGAAGATAGCGAAGCAAATGTCCTTAGCAACCTTGAGGACAAGGCCGATTTCAAGAAAGGAGGAATGTGACGTGCCTTACCAACGGGAAGACCTATTCTTTAGGAGATAGTGGTCTGTTACCTTTTCTTTAGGAGTTAGTGGTGTTAGTGATTTAGTTTCCCAAGCACGTTTGCACTTTTGATTATTTCTCTGAATTTGCTAGCACGTTTCCCCTATTCTAGGCACCATGTAGAGTTGTTAGGATATATATATATATATATAGAAGGATGAATGAAAGAAGTAGACTTTTGATTTTACTCTACAATGTTTTATAAGCTATCCACATCTCCTTGAGAGCTTCTCACCGTCTGCAAGCATTCCACGACGGGGCAGAGCCCGAGCAAGAGCTTGACTACTTCGGGCACACAACACCTTTATTTAGGATGTTAATGGTCCTCCTGTTGTGCTTAGTATGAATACTGCATTTCTTTACTAAAGACAATTTGGGTTTCAACAATAAAGCCAAACTAAAGGATAGGGCTTCAGCAACCTAGCTCAAACCCTACCATCCCATGTGCATTCTAATTAGTGGAAACTAAAATCTTCACACGCCATTTCCCAAGTGTACGTCAGCTTTTTTAATTATATATACATGGTACAATGGAACTGAACTCATTGGAGTAGAAGTTTTATTATTGTTGAGTATTTAATGGGATATACAAACAATGATGGAGCCAAAATTTTGTTTAATGATGGTAAGAAAAAAATTAAACTTTAAAAGATTGTAAATTAAAAACACAAGAATTTTACCATATTTATTAAAAATAGGCATATATTAGACTATTATTTTTAAAACTTTAATAGATACATTAGACATATGTATATCCATTTAAAACTTTGATAGATACTTGGTAGAATCATAAGGGCACACTGCTTTGGCTTCCTTACAACTTTTCTGGTCATGACTGATCCTACCACAACCATAGTAGAAATTCTGAAGTATTTCATACTTAAAGAAGACCCATATCCATATGTTGCCTAGTTCTTTCCTAGTCACCCAAACCCCAGTTGCCAGCGGTTTGGTAATATCAATCAGCACTCTCACCCTTAGATAGCTGCACATCAGCCTATCTTGCACCAAAGGTTTTTCGACCTGAAGAACTCCACCCAGAACAAAACCAATTTGTATAACACTCTGGGTGCTTGTCTTGGCTAACAGTAGCCCATGTATTTGAACCCAAAAAGGAGCTCTGATAAAGTCAATCTCATATAGTGAAATATCAGGGACCCAACGTTGTAGATTAAGAAGGGCCCCTAAAACATTCCATGGACTATCCTGTAGAATCTGCTTTGGTGTTTCCTCATCTGCAAAAGTAAATAAAAACATGTACTAGGGCCAATGTCAACAATAGATAGCTCTTGTGGCTTGCCCCATCCTTTACGGATCATTCCCTTGACAGTATTCTTGTTCAGTATTTTGTCTGCCATAATTTTTCCTATCAAAGACCATTTAGAGGTGAGATAGCCTGCTTCACTTCTATCCTCTATTTCCAATACCTGTTCGTCATTTCTTTCCCCACGACGGCCTTCTATCTCTGGCCGTGGTTTGCTAGTGGACATGGTAGAGTTAGGCAAGCAAGATTGTGATTACACAGATTAAAAGATGAACGAGAACCTGAGCTTCACTTAGTAGATGCTCTTATGCAGAAGAGAGCGGACTCCCCTGTCAGGAGTAACTTTTTTTAGAATTATGTTTAAAATGCTTTTTTAATTATATATACATGGTACAATGGAACTGAACTCATTGCAGTAGAAGTATAAGTTTTATTATTGTTGAGTATTTAAAGGGATATACAAACAATGATGGAGCCAGAAATTTGTTTAATGATGGTAAGAAAAAAACTAAAACTTTAAAAGATTGTAAATTAAAAACACAAGAATTTTACCATATTTATTAAAAATAGGCATTGATTAGACTATTATTTTTAAAACTTTAATAGACACATTAGACATATGTATATCCATTTAATTATTATATAGTATTTATATCCATTTAATCATATGATAAAGATATATTTACATAGTAGACTTACTTAACTGGATGTATATAAATTCAATATATGTATTTATTCTATATATCTGATAACTTTTGTAATCGTTGTATTATACTGAAATGCACATATGAATACAAAATATTACTTCCTCTTTGACTTTTGAGGAATATACAACCTTGCTTCTTATTTATTTAATGGTATCAGAGCTATCTGACCAAAGTAAAAGGAAAAAAAAAAATGTCAGACAAGTTCTCTACTTTCACCAATTCTAATATCTCTTCTCCGCCTATTTTGGTTCCTACCACTTTCAATTCAATCACAACGTTTCTGTCAAGCTACAACACCATGGCAATTTTAATCTTTTGAAATCCTTAGTTGAACCAATCATCAAAGGTCACAACCTGCAGAAATATATTTCAGGAAAAACACCTCCACCACCAAAGTATCTCAAGGAAAAGAGTGCTCAAACGATATCAACCTTTAATAATAATAATTAAACTACCGAATAAATACTTATTACCGTTTCATTTCACACTATCCAGCAGTTTTTTTTATCTTCTTCAATTCCTGTAATTATTTTTTAACATATGTCTTTTCGTTTTCTATTCATTCAATTTGTATTGCCATTAAAACCGACTCTTGATATTTATCTATTTATAAGGTTAAGAAAATTTGTATTCGTAATGCATGCACAAAGTACTGAATTTTTATTGATACTTTTTGCTTCTACTGTTTATTTCGCAATGCTAGACAAAACATCAGATCTGAAGAGCTTTGAAAGTGGTACCAGACATTTTACTCATTTTGTTATATTTTTTTATGTACATAAACTCTATAATTGTTTGGTTTTCATAAACTAACAATTTTTTTCATTTTTTCAATAGTTGAATCAGCAATACTTAATAGATAGTGCGAATTGAGACAGATTATAGAAAATGTTGGCACCAACACAGAGAATATAAATATCGAAAGACAGAAAGCGAAACATATCATTGATAGGTTGGTGGATATCATGCATTCAACAATCATTATTATTTCTAATCTCATGAAATTGGAGTTACAGATTGCTACAAACGAAATGGAACTGGCAAATTATTGCAACATGCTGAAACTAAAGCATCAACGAATGAAGCTGAAGCATCAATGAATAAACTGTAAATTAGTTAGTTTGTTACTAAATTAGTTAGCAGTTTGTTACTGTAATTAGTTAATCTATTTAGTTTGTTAATAATAGTTAGAAGTTAGTTAATCCAGCTCAGCTAAGTTAGAGTTGGTTACTAACAAACATGCTGTATATAAGAAACCAACCACTGTAACTTTCCAGTATCAAATTCTATAATCTTTGATTCTTGAGTAAGAAATATTTTCATTTCAAAATCAGTTTTATCATGGTATCAGAGCTTCATCTTTCCTCCATAATCTGAAGCAAAACCTCTTACTTCTGAATCCATTACGCTTCTGCATTCATGATGAATATTCCAACGAATGAAGATTCTATCAACTTTTCTAGTCCTTACTATCTGCACCCCAACGAGAATCCTGTTGCTGTATTAGTTTCTCTGGTTCTCAATGGCCCCAATTACCATTGTTGGAAGCGAGTTATGAAAATGGCTTTATTGTCAAAGAACAGCTGAAGTTTGTAGATGGCACAATCAAAGCACCTTCCAGTACCAATTCTCTGTTTTCAGTCTGGGAGAGATGCAACACAATGGTATTATCCTGGCTCACTCATTCACTTTCTCCATCAATTACTAATAGCATATTATGGATTGATAAAACATATGATGTATGGATTGACCTTCATGAAAGATTTTCACAAGGGGATATCTTTAGAATATCAAATTTGCAAGAAGAAATCTACAGTTTTAAACAAGGAGATAAAAATGTAACTGATTACTTTACTAAGTTAAAGGTTCTTTGGGATGAATTAATGATCTTTAGGCCCCTTGCATTATGTACATGTTCTACTCCTTGTTCTTGTGGAATCTTGAATACCTTTAAAACCTATCAAAATAATGACTATGTGATAAGGTTTCTTAAGGGTTTTAATGATTTATTTTCTGTTGTAAGATCACAAATCATGCTCATGGATCCCCTGCCCTCCATAAACAAGGTCTTTTCTTTAGTTGTTCAACAAGAAAGACAATTGAGTTTGGGAGTTGCCAAGGTGTTTGTAAATAAATCCGATCGAGAAAATTTTCAGTTCCCTTCAAAATCTCAGCAACAATTTCAATAGCAAAATTTTTAGTCTTCAAAGTCACAACAAAGCAGAAAGTTCAATACTCAATCTTCTGGTGGAGAAGATAATCGTTTTTGCACATACTGTGGTAAGCCAAGACACACAATAGAAACATGCTATAAAAAGCATGGTTACCCTCCAAGATACAAGCCTAGGAATTCTACTGGCCATAATGTTGTTGTTACAGAAGAAAATATCAATGTTGAAGGTCTGCAATTAAATTTTGATGTGCCTACTACAAACCAAGAAAAGTCTGGTTCTAATGCTTCTCTTACTCCAGAACAATACCAGCAGATATTGGCTCTACTACAATCATCAAATTTTGCTCAACCTTCACATATTACCAACCAAGTTATGTCACAACCCCATCAGCCAGCATTAACTCCTCATTTTTCTTCCACATCAGGTACTCATTTAGCTTTATCACGTACCTCTAAATCTCCATTATGGATAGTGGATATAGGAGCCACTGATCACATTACACATTCCTTATCTTGTTTTGATACTTATAAACAAATTAAACCAATCTTGGTCACCTTACCAAATGGCTTGAAAATCACTGCACAATATGCTGGAATAGTTTGCCTTAATGAACAACTCATTCTCACAGATGTGTTATATTTACCTGAGTTTTCTTTCAATCTTATCTTTGTAACCAAACTCACATCATCATTAAAATGTTGCTTAATTTTTCAAAGCTCATGTTGGTTAATTCAGGATCTGACTATGTGGAAGACGATTGGTTCAGCTAAGGTGCTTGATGGCCTATATGCAATGTCTAAATCCTGCAGTTCCAGTGTTATGCCACCTGCTAAGATCACATTACCTTCTCCAGCTTCATTAGCTTCAACCACTACATTTTTTGATCTTTGGCATCATCGCCTTGGTCATATTTCAGATTCTAGAATGAAATTTCTGTCTCCTAGTATTCCTAATCTTCAATTTCATAATAATGAAGCTTGTACTGTTTGTCATTTGGCAAAACAGAAAAAGTTACCTTTTCCTGTTAGTAATACTAAAACCATTATATGTTTTGATCTAATTCATGTAGACATTAGGGTCCTTTCTCTACATGTTCCATTCATGGTCATAGATTTTTCTTAACAATTGTTGATGATTACTCAAGATACACATTGATATTCTTACTTAGACAAAAATCAGAAGTAAGAAATCTGATTCAATCCTTTTTCTTCCTTGTTGAAACTCAATTCTCTAGCAAAATTAAAGCCATTCGTTCAGATAATGGTTCTGAGTTTGCCATGCTTGTTTTCTATGCTTCCAAAGGAGTTCATCATCAAACTTCTTATGTTGAGACACCACAACAAAATGGTGTGGTGGAAAGAAAGCACCAACACTTGTTAAATGTTAAATGTTGCATGTTCTCTGTTATTTCAGTCTAACTTACCCAAACTATACTGGAATTATGTTGTACGTCATGCCATTCATTTGATAAATAAGCTTCCTACTCCATTGTTGCAAAACAGGTCCCCATTCCAACTGCTCTATAATACTACCCTAGATTATACCTCCTTAAAGACTTTTGGTTGTCTTTGCTTTGCTTCCACTTTATTAGCTCATAGAACCAAATTCGATTTCAGAGCTAGGAAGTGCCTTTTCCTTGGTTTTCCATCTGGCACCAAAGGTTTCATCCTCTTGGACTTAAATTCTAGAGAAATATTTGCCTCTCGAAATGTCTTATTCTATGAGTCCACTTTTCCATTTGTTGACAATAATCAATCTTCTATTCCATTACCTCGGGACACCACTTTACCACATTTTGATCCTATTTTATCTTTAACACAATTTGGCCATTTGACAACTTCTAACACCACTTCTAATCAAACCACCACTTTGCCACCAGATCATACTTTTTCAAACAATTCAAACAATTCAAACAATTCTTTTCCTTCTTCTAATCATCTTGTCACCAAATCATCTCACAGGCATCGTAAGCCTCCTTCTTACCTGCATGATTATCATTGCAACATGGCCACAGCAACTGAATCTACCACTTCCCAATCAGGTACTCTTTATCATTTGTCTTCTATATTATCATATTCTGCTTTGTCACCTAAACACTTACATTACACCCTAGCCATTTCCACAACTGTTGAACCAAAAACTTACAATCAAGCCATCAAACATGATTGTTGGAGAGAAGCCATGCAAGCTAAAATTTATGCTTTAGAACAGAATGCTACTTGGACCCTCACTGATCTCCCTCTTGGAAAAACTCCCATTAGCTGTAAATGGGTTTATCGGATCAAACGAAAGGCTGATGGCACAATTGAGCGCTACAAAGCTTGTTTCGTTGCCAAAGGCTATAC